TCTTTCCCTAAAGACCTTAAGGGATTTTTATTTTCTCTAGTTGGGTGTGACTCTGTTTTGTACGCCTCTAAAAGCCCCATTCCCAGAAGATGAAATAGATTTATGAAGAGAGAAGCTTCTTCCTGTATGAGATCTAAAAGCTTCTTCACAGGTGTTTTGAACCAAGAGGAAAACAAAAGCTGATGAGACCCTGGTATCAATTAATTAGGCATGATAGTACTATCTGCAGGAAATGGGAGAAGACTTCTTTAATCCTGTTGTCATTACTATCTCCTCTGTCACACATTTTGTAATGTGGAGTTCCTTCATTTGACAGTGTGGTTTTAGCTGGTGACAAAATACATGCTTAAAGAGTCTGTAGCAGTACTTCCCCCCGCCCCCCCTTTTTAAAAAAAAAGCAAACTTACAAAGCAAACAGAAAAAGTTCCTGTTCTTTTTGTGAGTAATCTGGTAATCTGTTGATTGCCAGGTTCCTTTTGCCCCAGGTCAGTTCCTCAAGATAAAGGAATGTGATCTGGCTCCTTTCCCCAGTTATGGTATATTCAACAACTTAATATTGCCTGTTTCTTGTTCATTTTAGAAGATTGTCTCAGGTCAGCTGTAGGCCAATTGTTAAAAGCAGATACAGTTGCACTCCGTTCAGTATAAGCTAGGAAACTGACAGCTGGTTTTAATAAGGGGGTTGTTGCTTCTGTCCATGCTCTGGTGGGTATTCACTCAGCTGCAGGAGAGAACATTGCAATCTAAACTTCGCTGTGGAATCTTTAGCATCATACTAGGGAATACACAGGATGATTTGGGTGCTCACTTGTGGCTTTGGATGTTGAGATGTTTCAGGCAAATGCTGATCTCATCTGCATTCATATACAGAATACAGTCAGGTAAATCAGTTGATTAGATCATATACAAGAAACTACTAAATCACCTTCTGAGAAGTAATTGTAAATTTATTACTAGTAGAAAGTTGGCAAGGTTTTCAGAGATTCCTAGCAGCTGCAGTATTTAAGGGTGCCTGACCTCATTTAAGTAGATAAAACTCTGTAACTAGGCCTGTTATTAACTGAGTGAAAGGATGGACAGAAGTGGTTTGCATCTTAGAAACAGCCATCTTCACAAAATGCTTGGAAGTGGCTTTTCACTGTAAATTAATTTTTATGCAAGACTTACAAGCGGACCACATAAAAATCTTAGTACTGTTTTTCTAACTGAATTGCAGCTGTTAATTTGGAGAGGAATTGTTCAACAAGCTTTTGCACTTTATGAAATTCACTTTTCTCAAGTATTCAGTACAAGTCCTGTGTGCTACTCTATTGTTCAAAATAGATCCTAAGGCAGACACTGCAGATAATTAAGCCTTATGCCTGAAACCTCCATCTTTAACTGATGCTGAGCTTTTTTTCTTGGGAATTGTCACTGCTTGCTCAAGTCAGTTTTGTGAGGGAGCTCTTACAGTAGCTTGTGACAATAGCTGGAATTCATTACACGTCTCTACAGATCCTTATTAATTCTCTGATGTGCAGTTTGGGGTTTTTAAGTCAATTGGTGAGGTTCAGAAAGGCTAGAGGCACATCTAGTGAGCAGAGTTCTTTCTAACTAAGTAAAGAAGGGCTGAATATGGCTGTGCATGTTTGGTGTGACCTGTACAGAGACAATTCTTTGCTGACTAAAGAGCAAGAAGAAGGAAATAATACAAAAACTGACGTGATACTGAAATATTTCACTGACTTGTTACACTTGCCTTCCAGAAGTGCTTTTGAAACAGTTTTTTTGCTGTTCTGTGTTTTGCTTACGTGCATACATATTTATACTCAGACTGGAATTTGAGTTCTGTCCTTTAACCAAAACAAAGTTAAAATTGTGTGAATAGTATTTTGAAGGTTCTGCTTTGTTGTGTTATGTAGATAACAGGACCAGAATTTTTTATCATCTGGGTCATGTGAACAGTAACCTCCTAGTGTGAATTGAAAGGTTCAAAATATGGAGGGAAAAGTTTATCAAGATGTTTCCAGAGAGCTTTAAATAAATTAGTATGAGAACACTGGAAACTGTATTTCCCAAGCAGAAGATGAGGTCACATTTAATGAAATATTAAGTTGTTTTTAAGTGATTTCTCTATATCTACTAAGTTGCCTAAGAAATTATCAGGGATTTCAGGGAATGGTGCTCAACTACTACAGTGTGGACCTGCTGAAGTAGTGTACTTCACTAAGTAAATTTCCATCCTGCAGCTTCCCAGAATCACGTGGATTTGAGTGCTGCATTTAAATGTTCATCACTATAGCCTTAGTGTCTAATTTGTCATCAACAGTGGACTGACATAATTCCCTTTACTTTTATTTTCCTATCCCTAAAGTTCAGGAGAACTCTGTGAATGCCTTTTCTTGTGGTGTTTGCCCTTCACCCCTTCATTTCTTGGTTTGGAGGGAAATGGAGTTTTTGTATTACTGTAAGAGATGCTCTCATTTTTATCAAATTGAATTTGGGACAGATTGGGGCATTCAGGCTCAAAAGTCTAGGATGAATGTTCAGACTGTTTCCATCCTTTAAGGTTCTACCTGTTTGTGTGGTACATAAGCATACCTGCAGAATGTCTTTCAGGATGTGAAATGTCTTTGTTGGTGGGAAGCTGTTTGAGAACATTAATTGAAGTGCCACACACTATCAGGCTGGCTCGTTTTTTGGCTTTTTGTATGTAGTCTTGCTGGATAATGTTTTTGCTTTATGAGGCTGGCAAAGGTGAAAAAAGTGGAAGGAAATCACCTGGCTCCTACACAATTTCTCTGTTATTC